AGAACACCAGTCCAAATAATGCATCGATTTAATGCGGTGTAACTGGTTTGGAAACCTTGGCACTCGAAGTAAAATGAGCAGCAAAACTCCCAGCTAATCACTAATCAACTCGATCACTAAGTCAGAAAATTTTTATGGCGAGAATATAAAAGTTAACATCCATATTTGTTTCCCAACACTGTCCTACTAGATTTAGTGTAATATGTTACTATAGTATTCATCTCATCAGACTAGAAAGTTTTCGAAAATATCAATAAAAAATAGTTACGATTGAGATTATCCAAAACGATTTAAGAGATTTTAAAGTGAAGAAGGGAAGAAAGCTTGGAATAGGAACTTAGAACTTACTCAGTCAAAATCAAGCTTTTGAAGCTTTAGCACTCACAATAAGTATTTACCGACATTTTAAAAAAATCCTAAACCTACCAAATCTAGCAATTCAAGACTGGTCGCCAATTCTTTTATCAAGCAATCTATAGGTCTGTTATGAAGATATTATATAAATTGATTCCACAATAATATTGTATACACTGAAAGAGTAATTTAAACTGATTTTTTAATGAATCAGATTGAAAAGTATTGTTACAAGCACTATTATCACAAGCTCGTTAAGAGTTTTCTAACTGAAATACTGTGTACTTTAAACTCACTCTGGTACTACTATCATGTCTTATTTCATTCACAAACAAATGATGAAATTCAAATAAGAATTTTAAATTGCCCTAAGATATATCTCAGGTTCCGCAGTAGAATGAGTTGTTTTTTTCAATTATGGAAATCGAATGTACCTAATGAAATTGTACTGTATCTACTCGTCCGTATACTATCCTAATGAAAAATTTCCTGAAAGTGTCTTCTTAAGATGCCGATGAGCAAAGAAAAATTAATAAAACGTCCGTTCTGAGGTGTTTGTTTTGTAAAGAAATTTTCAATTGACTAACTCTTTCTGAACGAATTAGATCACCGCGACTCACCACCGGCCGTCTACCGTCAATAGCTTTTAGAGGCTCATTCTGGCGTTAACACGGCCCCGCGAGCTCCTTTGATCCTGCCGCATAAGCTCACCTCCAGTTCCCGCATCCATGATTTTAAAAAGAAAGGAGCTTTCATTTATTAACAAAGGTAGTGGTACAAAATTAGAAAGGCTTTGTGACGCGAATGTGACCTCGCTAAATCTGGTAAATGAAAGCGAGGGCTGCTTATGAATTCTCGTGTCCTAGACTGAAATTGCATTATGACGGATCTCATGAGAAAAAAAGAGCTTCTTTATGAAAGAGCATGAAACACAATCATAATTATATGACTGTCAAAGATTTGAAAACTACTGGGGCTGCAATAGATGGTACATTCTCGTCTTATGGTAACGGTTACCTAATAATGCTGCAGTTTCCATACTACTATACGACCACTACTTGAACAACTCAGACGATATATCTCAAAATGATGCAAACATTACACATACTGTCAAAACATTGTACATGAAATGATTTAACGATGAATTAGAAAAAAATATTTCGTTAAATAGATTGCATTAAAATAACTTTACGATAATAAATATAATATAATAAATTATTATTAAATAAAAATATAAGATAATAAAATATAAATAATAATAATATATAATAATATAAAATAATAAAATATAAATAATATACGTAAATTATATAGGATATGTTCAAAAGACATTTGAACATTTATAATTTTCAAAATTTCAGACATTTCTATGTAAATCGTTCCTACACAATATTTAAATGCACTATATGTTCTATTCGAGTAAAAAAATCTTGTTTTGTTTTTATTTATTACTTTTTCAATTGCTATGACTCACTCAAAACTTCACAAAAACTACTCACAATTTAAAAATATTGTATAAGTTATTATTGAAAGATTTGGTTCCAAAGAACATATTTAATTTACTAAAAATCTGTACCTTCAAATTTGTGTAGTGTTTGGACGCTATTATTGTCCACTGACGGTTGGATGGACGTTTTGAAAATAAACGTTTTTGCAATCAAGACCCAAACATGTGTTTCCATCGAAATTTCAACATGGATTTTTTCGAACATTACAAAACTTTTGCTGTTCTACCTGTAAAATGAAGATTAACTATATGTTAAGTCTTTATTTTTTACAAGAAACACTGCTATGTTTTAAGATTGTATCCTATCTATTCATGGTGAGGTATTCATCGTTCCATAAATAAATGTTCTATTTTTTTTTTCCATACATTGAATGGAAGTTGAATGCGCCTGACAATGTTGAATTAATTATTTTATTCCATTGTACTTTCTAATTCAATAAAATATTGAGCGAATGGCGAATATATAATAGAAACATTTTAGCATATTTTGAAGATGACTTCATTTTTATTTTAACATGTGGACGTTCTTGAGAATCTTGCCCTACCTCCGATCGATAAACTTCATTTCAAACAGGAAGAGAACCTGTGAAGTGGAGAGCTTGTACACAAAGAAATTCAAGCGTCCAAATGTTCAAAAACACCTGAAGCATTTCTTTGTTGTTGGAGGGTAGCATTTGCTAAAACACTGACTCAACGGTTTAAATAAAGAACGTCTATTGACTAATTTCGCAACATGTGCAAGGGCATTGGCATTCCGGGAACATCGCGAACCCATTTGTAATGCAAGAGGTGTTCTCCCACGGAGCACTTACCCTGTTTACGGAGCCCGGAGTGCGCGGCGGAAGCAAGACGGGGGTCGCGAACGGCGCGAGGTGGAGGACGCGGGGCGCGGGGCGCGGGGCGCGGGGTGTTGGGCGTTGGGGGTGCGCGAGGCGGGGGGCGCGGGGAATGGGCGAGGGAGGGCGTAGGGCGGGGACACAGGGCAATGACGGGGCGCGGGGCACGGGGCCGGAGCGAACGGCGTCGAAGGGGGAGACGGTCGGAAAGGGGGGCGTTGGAGGCGGCGGCACGGAGGCAGGACCGCGGTTCAGGGGCGTGAGACCTGCGTGGCGTCGCGAGGCGCAGTGGAGTTGCCTCGGGAAAGCGAGGAGGAATGAGGTAAAGGCAAAGCGGGGACAGCGGAGGGCGTGGAGAGGGGAGGAATGGGATGGAGCTGGGCGAAGTGTAACGAGGCGGGGCGGGGCAGGGAGAAGCAGAGCGGGGCGGAACGGGTCTGCGAGTAGCAACAAGGTTAAACAGCTCCAAACAGGTATCACAGAATATGAAAATATCTTTAATCTTAAAGTACTGAAAATCTTTTTAGACGATGCACGTAAATGTTCCAATGTTCAATAATAATAAGATTACTTGGATGTTTGTAAGTATTCGATATTTTAAAGTGATGCACGTATATATAAATACTATACTGTGATTTTCGCATCTCTTCCCCCAGGCAGGTAGCAGCTGTTGACAGTTTCATCCAATCGGGAGCTTGAACGTCGTCACTATGGTGACGTTCAAGCTCTCGATTGAATGAAACCGTCAACAGCTGGTACCTGCAAAAGACAGAGTCGCATAAATCGCAGTATTGTGGCCTGCGACCGAAAAAGTGCTGCTCAATAAAACAACCACACGAAATGGATTTCCAAAAAGTACGAATACTGCTCAACAACAATTAACCAAATACACTCTTATTACACAGCAATTGCTCAAAAATTTTAACAAAATCAGTTCACAAATAATGCAATAACACAGAATAATATATTAGAGACAGTACAATTGTTCTTTACATACTATATTATATTTTTAAAAAATCGTAATGAAACACGTAAATACTTAATATTTAATCGTGGGAACCTTGCTATTGTATGACATTACTTGTGTCGTAGTCACTGACGCACTGAGTTTAAGAATTCAGTTCATTTAGACAGTATGTATATAGGTGGAATAACACAATCAAAATATTTCTATTTTTAAGACAAAATCAAATCTCTTTCATTCTTTTTGGATTTTCACCAAGTTCCTGTGTATCTAACGTAGACATAGACACCCATCATATGGTCAAATGCTGCAAAATGTCTTTAATGAAGCCAATTTTGGTAAGTGTCTTCATATTTGCTTATTATCCATAGTTCATTAAAATGAACCATGATAAGAAATTTTCTTTAATAATATATTAATAATCTGGTATGAACTGACTATGACGTGATTATCTACTGCCTTGTAAACTATTTGGTTCAATATTTTATTTATATTTTGGTATAATATATAAAATATTTCATTTCAAGATTACAAATTTATTACAAAACATATTTTTAACAAATTTGATAATATTACACATATAAAAATCAAACGTCAGTGTTCGATCTACTAGCAGAATTATGGAAGAGAATCAGGTAATATATTTTAACGGGAAATATTTCAATGCTTTGAGACAGATGCATTGGCTGCCAAAAATATACATAAGTGAATTCAACAATGAAAAAGAACGTTAGAATTTCTCTTCCATAATCAAAATTGAACTGAATTTAAAATAAAATTGTAAAGTGCAAGTGCACTCAAAATTCTTACACGGAATAGCAAAATGCCCATAAGCTGTATATATCTATTTCCCTACTATCGCAGAAGAAAATTATGCATCAAAATTATTTCAATTTAAGTCATAGTTTTCCGAAACGGTGTGTGCAAGAGTGATGTAAGTCAACAAAACTGTTAATTACTTAATAAGCAATATTTCAGTCAAAATATCTAGTCAGCTAAAAGAATATCTTCTTAACACGTTCATAACACTTCAGATCATTTATTTCCATGCATTATAGTTTTACAGCGTTTTTCGTTTACATGACACATTACGGAAGGTATGTTTTTTAACTTATACCACTTTTGCTCTCAATGGCTCATATTTTACCTCAACATATTTTCCATCATTGTTCCTTTGCCAATACTATGTGCTTAATAAGATTTCCTTCAATGTTTATTTTTCCTCACAATGCTCAAAAAGTGGACTATTTTTTTTTTATTTTTCCACATTGACCATTTTTATTTTACTACATGCACTACTCACTAATTTTCTTCTTTTTATGAGTATATTCCTTTCACCTCAAAGTAATGCTTGATATTTTAGAGCCTGGGAAGTTTTAAATGATTTGTTTTGATACATTTCGTCACAGAATAGTAAAAAATGTATATGACTCATGAGGAAGTACATGTGTGTTCTAGTACACGCGCGTCCTAGAGTCTTGCTACTTTGTACTCGTACACCCATCAGTGAAGCTCTCTCTCCAATTCAGAGCTTCGTTTTGTTGCGCAATGCTTTGCGTTGTCGGCGAGTGCGCGCGCGGCGCACGCAACTACTAGAATCCGTAGACACAGAGAATTGGGCAACACGAACAGCTGCCGCCCTTTCATATTCTCTCACCCACGCCATGCAGCATTGAGGAGTTGAGGGTAAATGATAACAATTGACAGAATTACAGGGAGTTTCGAGTACATTAATACTAGTGACGAGTTGATTGGTAGTTCCCAGGTCATGCAGTCGAACGTCCCTCACAACTGGATAGAAAATGGGGAAACATGCGGCTCAAAGGCATGCGCTACTCACCCGTTGCACACCATGACTGCGTCGAAGCGCTCGGTGGCGTCCTCGCCCGTGCGAACGTCGCGCACCGTCACCTCCCAGCCGCCGCCCTCGCCGCCGTCGCCGCCGTCGCCGCCGCGAGGGTGCACGCGCAGCACCCGCCTGTGGAACTGAACGCGACTTCGTCAACGCGACCACGCCACACCACCTCACGCCCACCACGCCACGGTCCTGCGTTGGCTCAATGACACCATCCGTTGCCTCTGCAGAGTCGTTGACCAGCAGGATCAAGGGCGCGACTCACAACGGAGGCGAATTATAGACACTGGCTTGCCAGGTCCAAGTACTGGCTAGTCCGTGCTACATCAAATTCAAGTGACCAAGTCACGACCCTGAGGAAGTTTGCGTCATGACAGGCGAAACGTCGGCCTCTCAGCCAACGACGCGGCATCACACGGACAGCCAAGAAGTCATGAACTCGAGTCGCGGAAGCTTACGTGTACAAATTCAGCGTTGTCTCGAGGAAAATAACGGAGGGCAGCTGTACTTATCGATAATTTTTTCTTGTTTTTTTTCGATCAATACCAGGCGAATGTCGGAGCAGTGCCCATACAAACGGTCCTCGGACTGCGCGCGATATTTTCTCATTCCCTCTCTCTTTCTTAAAGTCGGGAATTTAAGAGCTTGTCCCGGCTGGGTCGGCAGGTGGATGGGAAAGAACATCGTCCTGTCCCTGCTAAAGAACAGCTACTCTCATTGTTCTAATCATCGTAGTAGTTTACGCGCCCGGAAATAGAAAATATTCACTGTCACACGCTCCATTCGCGTCGTGTGAGAGAATGCGGTTATGTTAGTCGGAAGAAGAAGTAAGTATTTATTGTACTCGGGGGCCAATCTTTTTCGTTTCATTCATTCTAAGAACTCACGTTTAGGAGAGAAGAATCGCCAAAATTATAATTTTAAGCAATAATTATAATTGTATAAAATATTTAAAATAATTGTTAATTTACTACTTATCGATATTTATACTTACACGTGTTTTATAAAATTTGTGTATTATTTTATTAAAATTTTCTTATTGGTTTAATATCGAGGATCCAAGCCTCGAAGCAATATATGCCCTGTATTTAAATGTATCTATTAATAATATAATTATTTTAACAACAATAATAATACACAAACAAGAGCGTGGTGATAACGTTTGAGATTGTTTTCTGAGCCAGTTTTCTTTAAATAATTATTATTTTTACGTTGAGGTTAATAAATCTATGAATCAGTCATAACTTCCCTCCATATCTTCAAATCACTGGTTTGGTTTAAGATCATGCTATACAGAAAAGCATAAATAGATGTCTTGTTTGCCAGCCAATGCTCCAGCCAAGCCGAACGCAGCTCTATCTACCCCACCCCACCTTCCCTAACTTACCCTGTCCTGGCTCACTTAACCCGAAAGGATTTGAGTTGCATTCCTGATCGTCATGAGTTTTGAATCAAATCAGAAACAGGAAACTTTCTGCAGCTGTAACTTGACGCTCACCTCCTCTGTTGTCTCGATGTGCTAGCCACGACTGTGTCGACTGGAGGCAAATGTTCATCATTAGTTGTCAATTACTACAGCAAGAAAAGGTATTCTCAGACCTGATTGGCGAGATAAAATAAAGGCTCTGTATATAAAAAGTAATATACAAATAGTAATGAGAAACATGTTTCAATCTATATATGTGAGCATGTTTGTAGAATGAATTACAATTATAATGGTTAGGTTTGTTAAGCATGTTATCTTTTTTATGAAACATTCTCTCAATATTTTTTGATGAGAACAATTTTACCAGCAAAGAAATTCAGATATATTTGAAAAATAAATGTATATGTCGTAGGTGTCGCTGTTACTGTCGCTAAAAGAATATGGAATTACTTTTGGAAAAACATTGCACGGTGAAATGTTCATGAGATTTGTAACGTTTGTAGAGTTTGTATAGTTGGTAAGTTCTGTAATGTTAAGTTAGGGTATTCTGCCACCAAGTTCTCACACTTAATTGCAGAATTATTAAAAAATCTAACCTAATCTAATCATTTTGGACGTGTCCGGATACTTTTGATCACGTAGTGTACTTCGAAAGTAAAAAGAGTGTTAGACCTACAACCAGAATGGCGTTCTTTCTTTCGTAACGTGTAGTGAATCACTTGGGACACTATTTCGAAGAAATGCATTGTCTTACGCGTTATCGTTGAATTATATGTTTAATTTCACAATAATTACTATAATATGAAGAAGAGATACATTTCTAACGAGCGATGTATGTCGATCGTATTAAGAAACTAAAGGCTCTATAACTGAATACATTATCTAACATTATTTGTAACTTTTGAATTTTTTTAAAAAAATAGAGATTTCACCGAAAATTAGGTCTGCTCACTTTTTAAGCGTTTTTTGCTCAATCTGAGAAAACAATAATGCAAACATTTAAAGGCATCTCTGAGAAAAACATTTCTTACAATTTGACATTATTTCAAACAAAAGTTACGCAGCAACTCCTTTTTACCATCCTTGGCCTTTTTCGTTTCTACGGGATCGACGCTAACGGAGGCGGGCTCATTTTTATAAATTTTTCGCTCCATTTTTACACTGATTTCGCGATGATTTTATGGCCGGGTGCGTATTTCTGACGCCAACCACAGGGGACACACAAGCACATTACGCATATTAGATAACACACACAATCACGAACCACACACAACCATGCCTCAGGCGGGATTATAACCCATAATACTTCGGTCCGTAATCACCATGGCCTTTTCAATCTAGCCTATCCGGATGACCACGCGGAAACTACTCATTTTCTAAAAAAAAGTGCATGATCTTACTTAAAAATCCAATTTTTATAACATTTCATTCAGGAAAAAATCTCTATCATCAATATAGTTCTTCTGAAATTGTATTTTTTGACAATCTTCCTAAATTTGTCGAAAATGGAACCTAGGTTATTTTAAGAACTGTTTACTCTACAAAAGAGAAAAAGCAAGAAAATTTGGAAAGGTTTTTGAAAAATTACTTGTTTAAAATGTGTCTTCATTTCAACAAACTTCACGTGAAAACGTCTCAGATTTACCTAACTTTATTTCAAGATTTAAACCTGAAGAATGTATTTCAATAAGTACTAGTGTTTGTAAAATAGGGCGAGGCTTCATGTAAAGTACACTGAAAAATCAAAATATCCTTTTCAAACTCACAGGGTCACCAACTCCTTTAAATTTATTGAGGAATCATCAAGGAATTTTATTTAATGTAAATTTATTGAGGAATCATAGCAAAGACCTTTCACCCAAATTTCGGTGAAAATTAGATGAACAGTTTTGAAGCAATTTTATTTTTACAAATGGACGGTCAGACACGTTTTTCCGACTATCTGCCTTTCATTTCTATCTCAATAATTCATGCCTTTTCTGCCAATTCCATGTTAAAAAAATGACTTCCAAAAATTTGAAGAAAAGAATGCTGCGTGATCAAAGTTAATATGTAGCCTTCGAAGCAATTACGGAGTTGAATGAAGTTTTAACTCTGACTCAAAGTTGGTTACACCTAATATAAAAGGATAATGACCTCTTAAGGAATGTCTACGCTAACTCATTAGAACAAATAACAGTATACGTACCATCTAGTTTTATTCGAGTTTCATTTATATCGTACAATCTCTTGGTTTCCATTGGTATCATAGGGATAAGGTTGCCAAACGTATTTATCAAGTACAATAATACGAGAAAACACCATAAATAAAATTTTTAATATTAAATGACTAAGGACCGGTATCACCAACAGCCAAGTAAACTTGATAGTAGTTACCCGAGAGTAAGCATTTACTCTAAGATAGTAACTTTCGAGTAGAATATAAGCGTTTCACCATGCTTCTACAGGATTATTTTACTCTAGAGTGCATACTCTCCGATTTACTCCGCGAATCCGCTCAACGCGCAATATTTGAGGGCGATTCAAGAGGCTGTGAGCAAGAGTGACGCCAGGAACCACTGCGAACCAACGCGAACCTTTGATTAATTCCTTATATTCTATCATTCATTTCAGTTTCGGAGTTCTTGGCGCTATTATCTTGTGCGGTGTTATCGTGATTTGAGTTGACATAGTTTATTTCTTAGTTTTTTTATCTTTATTTCTTAATAAATATTCATTTTTCTTCTCTGAAGATGAGTTACTATTTTGTTAGCAATGCAGAAAAATCAAATTTGCAGTTCGTTTACCGATGGCGATGCAAATAAATTTGCTATAACTCGGGAACGAAAATGTTTAGTTTTCAAATGTTGCTGATCTCGCGTTTTTCTAAATATTATTATTGTTATTATTATTGTTATTATTATTGTTATTATTATTATTATTATTATTATTTGTTTTATTTTTTAAACTTGTATTCAACTTTGAACAATGTATAGTTAAAATGTTGGAAAGGGATTTTGAAACTCAAGAAAACGTGCGCAAATTATCTCCCCCATTCGTCACATAGTTTTTAATAAATAAATAAATAAATAAATAAATATCTCTTAGTACTTGTAGTCCCTGTAGTTATTATTTTTCCTTTTGTTATCGTATACGGTACATAATACCTTTATTTCGTAAACACATGGGCGAAAAATAAATTTACAAGTTCTCTATAAGTATCTCTACAATGTATCTGATGAAGTCAACAGCTGATTTGGTCAAACATAACCTCGTGACAAAATCTCGATCGTCATAATTAAAACCAATCCATTCTCTCTCGCACCCTTTGTCTTCGCACTAGTGGATAATATTCCGAATTTTTGCTGGAATCGTCTTCAATACTATCATTCGTAATCGTCGAGCCGTAACAACACTTCGGAGGTACATGAACGTTGAAATCTGAATTTACTCTGTACTTTACCTAACGGATTTTCGCAGTGTAAATTTACTCTCGTGTAAGCGATTTACACTCGAGTAAAGTGTTGGTGAAACGCTCCAAGAAGTTACTCTCGAGTAAACATGATTTACTCCAGAGTAAACTCTTACTCTTTGTTTGGTGAAACCGGCTCTTAGATGTTAGGAATAGTGCCGCTAGGTACTATATAGCGAAAGTTTGAAATAACATAATTATTAAATCTTATTAATAATTTAAAATGGCAACTGTTGACGTAATTGCCGATCTCATAAATTTTACAACTATGTTTTGATCACATTTTCGATCGTAAGGAATGTAAAAGAATGAAAATGTTTCGGTTTTACACATCAGTTTAACCTATGCATCAAATTTCACCAAAGAATCAATAGAATATTTATAAAAAACAGGTTAAAGGCTTTCACGCATCTTACGCCAGAGAAACTTTTTGCAAGATTTCCTTCTATGTACATAGTTTGGTGACTGTTTCCTGGTTCAAGTTCATACAATGTAGTGACGTTTCGTACTTGTAAAATACGTCTGTCATGAACACGGAATATTTTCTTTTGTTCTTAAAATAGCTCTCTACAATATGGTGATGTTATCTATCCTTGTGTCAAAAATATTTACATACAGCACCTTGTGCCAATAAATGTAGAGTTCTACTGTAGTGTGTAAATTACGAGACCCGTTATGGCAACGAGTTCGTTGAAGTGACTGACGTACTTTTAATATTTTTTTCAACTAATATTGTATTGAAATTATCGGTACTACAACAACACATATTTCCTCGCAATAATTGTAACGGCTTCGCAATATTATATTCAACATGCAAAAGTGTTCCACCATGCCGGGAAACGAACTCAAGGCTATCAACTCAACTCGCCGCACCCTTTCCACTACATAATATCACACAGTCTCTACGACGTACACCTCTGGAGCTGACAATTAAATATCAAATTGTTTCTCACATATTCGCGAAATTCTCGAAAATTCCCGACCAGTCTCCCGCCATGAGTGGTAGCGTAGTGAACATTAGTGTGTGTGTGTGTGTGTGTGTGTGTGTGTAAGGTGTGAGGACAGGACAAGGAAGAAGATTGAAAAATTACTCGCGGTCCGTTTGTTAGGAACTTAAATTGAAAGCGATTTGTGTTATCTGTAACAGAACAATGTTTTTGTTAGTATTTAGAGTCGATGATGATTTTCAGAGATTTTTAAGGAGAGTTAGGTGTTATAAACTAAGAATTTTATAGGAACAAAGAGAAACGTGGTTTTCCTTTTTTATTTTCTCGGCTTCTAGTACATGTAACAAATTGCAAAACAAATTGGCTGAAACAAATTGCAAATTATATAACCGATTCTACCTACACGACTTCAATTTCTTATATCGTGATTTAATGTGTTTAAATAATAGTAAAAACGTTGTTTTCAATCACATTTTGGCGAGAATTTGAAATTTTTAAACAGGTAAAATTAGTTTTAATTTTTCCCCCCCTATCGTCCACATTGTTTTCAAATCTGAAAAAAAATGTTATAGAATGTCGTAACATGCATTAAAATCTTCGCATTCTTTATAATATTCGCAAATTTTCAAGAATTAAGAGTGTTCGCCGAAAATGGACCTGCATCAATTTTTAACTACCTTTAGCCTCTATCCAAGGAAGAAATTTGAAGACATTATTTGGAGTTGTTTTGAGAAAATAATTGTTTTAAAATGTCCTTTATTTGAAGCAAAAACTACTCATATTGTCAAACAATGTCCATGACCTGACTTAATTATCTGTCTTTGGAACACTGATTTAATTCAGAAAAACCTTATCTTCAAAATGTTTATTGTAGAAAGAATCCAACAAATTTTCAACTTTTTAAATTTGCGAAAATTTGTATATGCAATGAAAATGAGTCGCGCCTCATACTTTTAGACGTCTTTGCGCCATCCAAAAAAAATTAATCAACAAGTTTGGAAATTGTTTTGAGAATACCTTAAAAATGTTGACAATTCTAACAATATATCCCCAAAATCAAACGATGGGGTACCATCTGTTTTGCAGAAAATCGTCGGAGTAGTTTAGGCGCTATCGTTTATCACAGTCGGACCGTCGTTTTTCTGAAAGCAAATTTTTAGGTATTAAGGACCCACAAAAATGAATTCTGATATACCGTGGAATAATTTACTTTATATATAAACTAGATTTTTTCACATTTTCGTTATCAGGACCCTACAATACCAGCATTTTTACGATACTTATTTTTTCCTCGGATATAACAAAGACTGTTGGCACAAATCTCATTTTCGTCAAACTTTGAATTTTGGAAAAAAGTAGTCGATATAAATAATGCGAGAAAGTATGTACTGTTGTAGCACCACTAGCGTTCAGTAGTAGGAAAACTTTCGGTAAAAGTAGTGAATTAAACGTCTTATTCCGTGAGGGGGATGAAAGGAGAGAGAAAGGCTAGTGTATTTTAACTGCTTATCAAAGAAAATAAAACTCGTAATAAATAAATTAAAATGTTATCAATAGTTTTTATTGAACTAATCTTTGATCTTTGAAATTGCAACTGAATGCTCAATTTAAAAATGAATTTTAATACTGATTTTATTGAATTCCCCCTTGCCATTTCACCAGAGCTCCCTGTGTGAGAACCGACGGCGTTGCTTACAAATCGTTGTTCTAGGGTACTGAAATCGTACGTGATTTATAAACATTGAATATATTGAATATAATTAAACATATAAATTGAAGCAATCAAATAGGGACAACGATTTTTTCTTGATATACAACAACACTCTCGAAACATTTTAAATTCATATATGCGGTCTGTTACACAATTATTCTAATTAAATTCTGTAAAGTAATTTAAAATTGAAATAAATCGTGTCAAAAAATTGGTGATACTAGGGTCTGTGCCATATCTTAAGTGTGTAGTGCATCAATTATAAAAAGCATTCTTACCTTTATATGCTGCTTTACATTGTAGTGTGTTGCATAGTCATCAATTAGTTTCAGTATGTCTTTCGCTGGTATGTAGGATTCTTCATTTTTTGGAATAGGGAATTCTGGAAATCCCATTATTTCTTTGGGTAGATTTGTTCTGAAATTAAATTACAAAAATTAAATTTCCGAAACATTACTTCAGTTCGTCACTTTTCTATACATTTTTCTAAGTTCCACACAATTTTAAAGTAACAAACGGGAAATAATTAACTTAAGCACCATGTTATACAGATATGTTTGCATATACTTGTTGGGCATCGAAGTTCAATTTTATTGAGTCTCAATGAATTAACGTTTCACCACAAATCCATTTCGTTGCTGACTTGTTTTATTGGTAATTTCATCCATATATAGAAAGCCTATTTTATCATCGATGCCTTTGTAAACATCTAAGTAATATATCTACAATACTATTGTTATGAAATTTATTGTTCGAGATCAAAGCACATAGAGACAATCGAAACCTATCAACTGATTTAATTGTGTATTCCAAAAAATTTCCCCGTTCGTTACGCGTTAAATAAACCGAGTATGAAATGAACTGGTGATGATTTTTGTATGAACTAAATAATACAAGTGTAACATATGCATCCGAGTCCAATGTATGAAATCGGGAGAGGAGGCTCAGGGCATCAACTGATGTCACTGCAGTCCCTCTGAGCGGGAGGTACTAGGGTTCGAATCCCGATGGTGGAATGATTTTCGACACTAGATTGTCAGCTGGTTGAATTCAGTCGCTGTCTGGAGGAGAATTCTAGCGGCCGGCTTCTCTGATTGGTAGCTTTCCGTGGTTTCCGAGCAGCACCCAAACAAATAGGCCGCGGAACGCGCGCTATCTCACCTTCCTCTTCTTCTCCTATCCTCACCCCTTACACACACACACACACACACACACACACACACACTTACATTAACACGCACTACATGCCGGGAGACCCGTCAGGAACTAATCTCGGCTGGGGTGATGCCCGCTGGTGGGAGATGCCTGGTAGGGGAAAACCCTGCTAGCTGACAGGAGGTTTAATTACATTGATTACTTCATTAATAATGTTGTGCCGTTGTAGCACTGCTATTTAAACTACTAGATGCACTAGTTTCAATGAGTATTAAAATGAAGAGATTTTGATTGAAGTTTTGTCATCAATAGACCCAGTGGCTTCTATAAAATTGGAACATTTTTTTGATCTTTCGAAAGTATCTGACATCATTGGCATTAAATTGTCCTTTCAAAATTACCTGCATAATTATTCGTTTTATTGCCTTAGAATGGATAAATTCTAATCGTAAACATCGACCTCAAAGAGAAGAAATATTGTACCCGCACCAAAAAACATATTTACCCACACCATTAAAAACATAATCTTTCCCATTCCTGCCAATTCAGCATGTGTTCCTGCTGGGTTCAATCTGACGCCATGTCCCCTTTCTTTTATACGTAAAGAATAAACCCACTTTTATTAGAAATAGAATAGCAACTCCCTTTCATGATTCTAATATTCTTTGCAACAAATCGATAAGTAGTGCATTTTCAAATGCTTCAAATTGATTTCGTAATAACAACTTAATAGTAAACAAAAAAATATGTAAAAGCAGTTTAACGTTTCAAATATGCAATTGCATCCGGAATTGAAAATGAACAATACGCAATTGGTTGATGTTAAGGTAACAATTTTAGGGCGTCTCAATGCAGTATAATTTCAAATGGAATATCCAGAAAAAAGAATTGAACAATAACTCAAGTTCATTGTGTTACGCATTCTGAATTCTTTCAAATTCTGTCGGCCTTAATGCAGCTCGTTGCTTCTATTTATCAAATGTTGTACGTTGCTTTACAACACATTGCTAGTTGACATAAACAATTAGATTAGATATATTTAGTAAAAAAACCAGCAAAACTGTATGTGACCTATGAAACTATATGTGGGGTAAAAGATCAATGAAATGAAAGGTATCAAAAACAAATCAAAATAGATACACAAGTTGAAGTGTCAAGTAAATTGTTTCCTACTGCATAACAGCTTCCGTAGAATTAGAGACTATTTTGCCCATCACAAAGTTTTTTTTTCAATTTTAACAATGATATTTAATGCAATTGGTTAAATTTGTATTATATAATTTTAAAAGACTACATATGACTTTAACAAGTAATGAACTTCAGCGCCAGTGCACTCATGTCGAGTAGATTTTTCGTCCAGTTTTCCTGACACATTGAGCAAATGCTGAGACACCCCTTTGTTTTGCTTCTGGACATATGTTGTTGTACTATCGTTTTTGTTCGCTGTGGTGGGAGTAGAGAAGGGGGTATGGGTAACTATTCTGATAGTTTAGTAAACAATAAAATTAAATGTATAGATTCTTTACGGATTCAAATAAATATTTTTCGGAAACTACTATTGCACGACATTTTTCAAACGTTAGTAACCACGTTTTGTTGGCATTTTTATGCACCACTCAATTATGGGATAAGGTTTCTGGAGCTTAAGAAAAATAGCGCAGATTATATTCCTTCACCGAACGCCACTTTCAGTTTTGTTTTGGTTTTTGGCGCTGTAAATCAAATCAAAGGTCTGTCTGCTTCAGACATTCTATTTGTGTCTATTTCTTTGAACAATTTGCATTAATTTGTTTTATTTTTGGTAAAAACAGTAAAACTGTATACGACGTATGAAGAAGAGCTGTGTCCCATTCAGTAAAGTCACACAATGATTCCCACCAAGGTCACTGGTATTTTATTGGTTTTCTATCAGTCATCAAGGGTGATTAATGTTACACAGATATTCAAGTTCCTCGTATTAAGTAATGTTTCCTTCTCAAGTAAGCAATTATGTCTTTTTATTAATTTTATAAGATAATGCTCTAAAAAATGAAATATTAAGTCGTATTTTCATGTTACATAGGTGTGTTACACATTGGTAGGTGAGTAACAGATTAACTCATTGTATGTCAAAATATATTTTCTAATTTGTGTACGTACAATAGATTATGTCTAATTAAAAGGCAGAAACAATTAACTCTTATTTGCAAATATACTAAACGAAAGACCTTTAAAAATTATCTGCGAGTTGGTCTGTTTGAATATAATGAACTTTCGTAATAGAGCGTAAGTAGAAGGCTGTTTTATGCTCTCCTGTAAAATTTAATTTTCGTATGTAAACAAAAGTATTATTCACAGAGGTCAAAGTTTAATGAACTGAAACACAATCGTCGCGTACCAAAATTCATATTCGAAAGAGTATTTTGTTAACATGTTTATAGCACACGAGCGCTGTAATTGGTAATGCATTATGGGCCATTTTCTTTGTACTGCTCATTACACATTCACAACAAATTCATTGTAATTTGCGTAGTTTTACTTCAGTAATAAATTGTCTTATGCAGACTAAAGTGTTAACCCGGAGATACCCTTTAAATTCGGTTTTGTCGACCATGATCTGGCCTTCCTCAAGTATTTAAGAGTTTAAAAACAAGCTATGTCTGTGTAAAATATTATACTTAAATTATATAACAACCAACGTTTCGGACATTCCAGTTTTAGGCCCACTTCAAGATATTCAAGATAAATTAAGAGGTACTAAACAACACATACTTTCTCGCGTTGTTGGGAGCAGTTAAGTAATATTATCTTATTGCAATTACATCTTTCACTTGAAGTTTCATTTGAACAATCCAAACAAATTCAAACAAAACACCCGCGGTGCATTTTCGCAATAATTTCAATAGTCTGGAACAGTAGCTCTCTCTTATTATTCCAAAAGAAACAAGCGTGAATAGATCTCAACTTTTATTTACTTTTGTTATTATACGGACACGTAATCTATTATTTACACAAAGAATACAATAAAAAAATTGCAGGTAGCAATATAATTATAAAAATAGAAACATTTATAAAAAACATTCAATAATCACATGAAAATATATCTGCTATAACAGTTGCTCTTCCATGCCAACTCATTCAAATTTCAAGACTTTGTTGCTCAATAATGATATAAAAGCAGATATATCCGTTTCACATACATCAATATTCAAACTGTTTCCTGATTTGCAACATCGAGTTATAACATTATTGGCTGTGAAAGAATGACGGTAAACTCAAATATCAAAAATATCTTTCGTTCTAGAATTAAAGTTAGGTATTTTTTACGCTAGCTGGTTTTGCAAGATTTTGCAATCGACCTCACCTAATATCTGTTTTGTCAAAAACAAGTCGTTCAAGTCTCTCAGAAAATTCGGTGAAGGAACGTTCAATTGCAGAGCCAAATCAAAATATTCATGTTTTATATACAAATCTTCCAATCCCAAATCATAGGATGACATTCTGAAAAATTTCTGTTGGAGTGTTTCAATTTGTGATTTATATTTCGAAAAACAGAGACCAAATCACAGAAGAATACATCAACATTGGCTTCACCAGCATAAGATAGAGTGATCCCAAGAACACTACTGAGTGTAATTCGTGGCAGAATATTTTCATGTATCCCAAGACTTGGTTTGCTTTGACTATTGTGCGACGAAAATGATCCGCGAAAGTCATCCTGGAATCAAAAATTACGCCCAGATCTCTAATGGTATGGGCTCTCTCCAGTGGAGCTTCATCATATAATCAGAGGCTTGATTAGATCTAGATCTCGAACAAGTTATAATTTTACATTTCGCGATATTGAGAAAAAATAGTTTTTCATGCACCAAGCATATAAAACACCAGGCATAAGGGTGTTTCAGAAAGGACTCTATCTTCATTAGATTGGATTTTTTAAAAGATTGAGGTCATCAGCAAAAAGCAAATACTCCACGTCCAATATACTGTCGCATATGTCGTTAAGAAAGATGTTTAATAAGAGAGGACCTAAGTGCGACCCCCGAGGGACACTTGAAGATGCCTTTATAGGATCGGATACAACAAACGAAAAAAAGAACAGTTGCAGTATACCTGATCCATGATACTGTAACGAGGGAATGCATGATAATATAGGCCCAACAAGGTTCACGCTTACTGATTCGTGACGGAGATTATTGGAACGAAAAGTTGCATCGTGAAGGGTGCCTTGTTGCACACGACTGAAAGCAGATTGTTATAAGTGCACGGCTAGAAGTTGCCGA